ATAAAATAGAGTCCATACCGTCCTGCCCTGCATTAAACAGTACAAAAAATCTACATTTACATATGTGTATCTATCAAAAATCTACACTTACATATATACATTTTCATCACTATTTGAACCGTCCCACACCTAATCCGCCTTGCACCGCAGTGTCTCCATTCGGAACCTATAATAATGGACAATTCTCAAAGTTTTGTTTAAAAAAAACCATCATTTTTTTAAATGTTTCAAAAAATATCGTACTTATGATGGTACTTTGAGAAAGATATTATAGACAGTTTAATCAACTTGAGGATTGAAAGGATTACTCTACATCTTTTAAATGGCGTAACATCATGACGTCAAATACCTGACCGCGACAACCAAGAGGTCTAAGAGGACCTAGCCACATAAACTCTCAGTTTTTAGTATAAACCTTACTAAACACCAAGGTCTGGAGTGAAACTTGGGATCTCAGATGTTCGACCGCGACAACCAAGAGGTCTAAAGCAACCAAATAACATAAAAACTCTGTGGTTAGTATATGACCTCACTAAAGGATAGAAAAGAGTGAGACGTCCCTCTTCCTTAGGGAGTTATTCCAATCCGAGAAGATCATTCTTGTTCTTTGGTTGAGACATAATCGAAATCTCACAACGCAAAGTCATAAGTTTACACAGTATAGTCAATATATGATTTAACAAGGAGGAATAAATGTACATATGCGCAATGTAGGGTTTTGAAACATAGTTTCACAGGTCTCCAAAACAAAGTGTGGAAGATCCGGATGCGATAAACTTAAACACTTCATGTGGCAAGAGTTAAATGGTATCGGTAGCTAGGCTCACATTCGGTTATCTCATCATCGATATAAGTTATTGTATATGTAGGGCATCCAAAGAAACAATCTCTTACCTGAATGCTCTCTAGCACTACAAGTTTGGGTTCTTGTAGAAGTTTTGTCCCTCCAAAGTAACTAAGTTGCTTACAGAGTTCATCTCTAACTTTCTCTTGGAGGATGAAAAACGTGGGGCCTCCAGGCCCACAGGAAAAACCTTCCTTTGAATTATATGGAATGCAAGGAAAGATCTTTAACTAAAGACGTACCCTGTCGGACATTCTCCAACTTGTTACCCTTGAGACAAAAAGTTGAAGAATCGCAAACGCAAAGGAATGTGAAGAGGAAACGGAACCAGAACCTCACAACATCATAAGAGAACCCTCCTTGGCCCTCTAATCCCGACATGTCAAATCGATGCCTCGTGGATCGAGCATGGGCCGGTTAGTGGACTTGGATAGTGATTACATGATAACATAGGACGGGATTTTATCAGAGCACAAAGATGCCGACGAAGTTTACCGGTACTATACACGGTGATGGATGAGCTTTCTTTGGATTGTGTCATGCTTTAACAAACGCGGATACTAATAGATTTGATATAGATTGCTTGAACTTCAATTATAGAGAACTTTCACCCTATAATCAATCCACTCAAGAAAAACTTTCTCATGGGAAAAGCATGAAACAAACCGATGAAATACAAAGATCCGTATAATCATATGAAGTTTGACAAGTTCCAAACAAATTGGTAAAGTCCATTAAACATGTA